TGGAAACGGAACTCATTTAGTCATACAGCTCAGCTGCACTTCAGAAAGAGGCTTTACACAACGTTGACAGCATCACATAGCGTTGAACAATGACCCACAGTGGGATGTGTCTAGGTTTGAAAACTGCATTTATTAGCCCCAGCAACATGATAGATTGCTGGACAGATTTTCCACTGTATGCTTAAAGAAGGTAAAATGAGGGATGAATTTCAAAGTGAATAGCCTGTGTGGCTGTTGCAAATAGCCATAGAAAGCATCACCACTGACCTGGTAGCTCAAATAATAAATAAAAACATTCCCACAGAACAAAGCTAAAAAAAAAAAAACCTGTGTAAATTCAGTTTTGCCTTCTCTTTATGGTATTTGTCTTTGTGTTTGGGGTGGATTAGTGTTAAATCTACATGGGCAGAACTAATGCTGAAATCATTTGAGTACTTCAAACAGGGTGGGGTGAGGGCAAAGGGCATATGTCCATTTCCTACAGAATGCTCGTAAAGCTCCCTTGTCCCTGCTGTAACATTGTCCATCATTATTCAACCTAAACCTGAGACCATAGTGAACTTCTCTACCTGGGATATTTTGGAGAAGACACTGAAACACTAACTGTCTTGAAAGCACACCAGCAGCAACCCATATGCTCTTTGCACACTATCAGCAACTACTGCTTTAGATCACACTTTTAACAAGGAACAAACAATTGTACAAGCAATCGATGTTCCTCAGATCCCCGCTCCACAGTCACACCTCGTTTAATCAACAGAATTGTTTTCAATGAAAACAATCTCCAGGCTGTAGAGCTACTCAGTGTGTCAGAAAGAACCACTCAGCAGGCTTCCACACTGATTTGATTGTTGCACACACAAAGGTAGCTAGACCACCACAGCTATGGGGGATGATTGAATTATTCAGTTTGGCAGAGATTTGGCAGCAATTGTGTGGAGCGTTGCCTTGAGTGGAGTGCAACAGAAAGACAGCATCTTCTTGTTTCCTGCACCACTGCACAGTACATGCATAAATAGCCTTTGCTTAGACAGTCAGTTTTGCTACAGGACAAATTCACCTGACCACACTTGCTGCTTGGCTAGCAGACCCACAACTCCACATAGACACCCTTAAAATTAAAAGCCTTCAGTGTTAAGCATTTTTAACATTTACATTCAAGCATTTAAAAGAAGGTATGAGCAGCTTCAAAAATCATCACAGTTAAATTCCAACTTATAAAAAGAGGGAGACTTCCAATCACTGATATCATACAAGTTTAGGGAAATGTCGTAAAATATCCACGGCATGTTCACTTTACTCAAATGTTAGCTGAAGTTGTATCTGCAGCAATCCTTAGTTTCCACTGTCATTCTATATACTGTCTGCTGTGGATCTCAGTGGAAAAAGACAATGACTTGTAAAATCTATGTGTTGTTATTCACATGAATAACAAATATGTTCTAGTTTTATGTTACATTTATCAGGAACTGATAACAGGGCTGACTGCATTGTCAAGGTTCAGAAAAGTCACTGGGTCAGATGTATGCTTTTTATTTCAGAATGACCAACTCTATATGTGGTTTCTGTTTCATCTTAGATATTTATTTTTCATAACTATTAATAAATATTTATGCTTCCTAATTACAATGCATACAAAGGTTTTATATTACAGGAAATTGCTGCATGTAGCTTTACTGAGGAAGCCTACATTTATAGAAAAAAAAAACTCCATTTAATGAAGTCCATATGGAAAGCCTCACCCCCAGAGACACACATGAATTGCTGCACATGTGTCTCTGTATATGTTGCTCCATCTGCAGACATATCATTGCATTATATGTAATCAAACTGACTACACACAGTACAACTCGCTTTCTAGCCTGTTAGATGAAATTGAATACTGTCTTCTCATAAATCATGGATCAATATGTCAGCAAAGAAACTCTGGAAACATTTGCTTCAGTGGCATACTGTAATACAACCACAGAACAACCTTTATAGATGATAAAAAATCACTGGGAATGTACTTAATGTGAGCTAACCAAAAGTATAAGCACAAACCGAGACCCCTAACAACTGCACATTTCTGTGCGAGCAGCGATGAAACAGCTCAAAGACACAGCAAAGACATTTTCTCTTATAATCCAGACCAGCAACTCTTTGTCTGTTCCTCCAGCCCCTTTCTCATCTTTGACTTTGCACTCTGAAGCAGAGGATGATCTGTTTATCGCCTACTCTATCTTAATGCACAAATGTTAAGACTCATTAATGCTGTGGCTTGGCTGAAGTTTTTTTTATGGCTCATTTGAAAACATTTCATTTTCTAATTATGCATAACACAAAAAAGTCAAACCATAATTTATCTAACTCAAAGAGATACAACTACCTTATGAGCTACTCACACTCTCTTTTTTAAGTAAGAATGAGACATTAGCAGGTTTACATTTATCTATTAATAGAAAGCTGACATTTATCCGCTCTCTATAAAAAATACTCTACTTGAGTACGCATCACTTTCTCAAATCGCCAAGGACACGTTCCCCGGGGGAACTGATTAGCTCTCTCTACGAAGAAACTTTGATAAGCAGTTAAACATTTTCTCTTGTCTCTACTCTGGCTCTGTTTTATGCCTTTCAGGTCTGTATTTTTGGATCAAATTCGCATAAACACTGCATAACACAATGTTAGTGCAGTGGTTATTGTTCCTTCTAGCATCAGTCTTCCTCTCAGATGTGTAAGATCCTGTGTTTGTGCACTAATGCACATCATAATAGCAGGGTTATCATTATCGAATGATCATTATCAGCTCTCATAGAGAAGAAACAACAACAAAAAAATGTTGTATGGTTCCAAAAAAAGCTTCTGTTCTTCTGTGTTCTGTCTGTGCACTTCAAAGGATGTTCTTCCACCAAATTTCCATAACTTTTTATCTGTAATCTATTCCTAATGAGCGGCGTATATCTGACTCATGTCTGGGTTTCTTTCTCCTAGTTAAGTGCTATATTTTCACTAAATGTATGGCTGAAATGAGTCAATAAACGTCCAAACCGACATAGCCACATGTACTTCTACAGGTCACAGCCTGTTGACCTACGCTGCAGGAATATTCTACTGGCAGTCGATATATATTTTTAGAAAAACAACTGATTATTCTACAACACGTTTGCATCATTTTGGTTCTACCATTTTCACAAGTAGTTAGAGTTTACTGTATTGTAAAAAACTGAACTGATTGAGTGATGTAGACTATTCAAACCAATGAATAAGAAGAGTCATCAAAATATGCAATACAATGCAAAAGACTTTAATAAATTTCAGAAGCGCACACATACATAAACAAAACATTTACAGTTTTCTCCACACTGCAAATCAAAGTCAGTTACAAAGATCATGTAAGGTGCATATTGTACTTTACATTGAATAAAAGTGAGGTTGTCTGTCTCTCTTAGAAGGACAAAAGCTCTCTCCATGTATGAGTATTTTTTTTCCCCAAAGATCAGGCAAATCTAATCATTACACAATGCTAGGATGCTATGTATATTTCATACTGTGGCTCCTACGCAGTAGTGAATACATTTGATACCATAATTACACAAATATACCTCCTTCAATAATAACAACCTGCCTCACAGAGAGGTGACACACATAAAATTAAAAGCTTAAAATAGTCTGTAGAACCATGACATATTAAGACAGGAACAAAAAAAAAAACAAAAACTTTAATCTCTCACAAAAGGGGGAACGGTCTCTGGTCCAGTCCATCAGTACATTTCTAATTGAATACAAAGGCTATGTCCATTTTAATGACTAATTCTATGATTATATGTATGTTCTGTAGGCGTGTTTTAGGTATTACCTATCAAAGGATTATTTAGCTTACCAATTAACAGGACTATTGAATAACAATGCTGCTAATCCATCAAGCTACGTACTGGTGTATACTGTAGAAATGATTCTAGTCAGGACATACGGTACCATGTTGATTCTATAACTGTAGACACAGTAGAGGCAAAACGATGCTCTGAACAAAAGGCCTAAGAAGTAATAAGTGCACCATACTGGATTTTCTGTGAAATTTTGGCAAACTTATTGCTGTTTTTAAACTGAAGCCTGGATTACCTTTTCATTTTGGTGTTCAGTGCTCTTCTGATCAGAAAACTTCCTTTGTCAGTGTAGATAAGTGCATAAAGTCGAGTCATTTTTGCTTAAACCCACCAACTCATATTAAAGGCTGCCTGAGGATTACTATTATTCTTCTTTTTTTTTACCATCTGGAGTCATTTTAATATGGATCTCACAGGTTAAATCACTTCCGACTTAGGAATTGAAAGCGACACACAAAAGGTTAGGCTTAGTGCTCTTCAAATCTGCCCTACATAAACAGCTTTTGATTATAACCCCCAGCAGTTAGTCTCTTGTGATTGTGGCTTAGCTCAAAGTATTAAACTTGTCCTGCCATTCCTCCCAGTGTAATAACAGCATGGCGATCAGTAGCGCTGTTGTAAAGCACTACAAATGTGGTTGTAGTGTGTGTGTGTGTGTGTGTGTGTGTGTGGGTGGGTGGGGGGCATGCATTTTTCTCTAACATTAGCCACAATCTTCACTAAAAACACTATCAGTAGTATCAAAAATGGGACAGAAAGAGGCGAAAGCTGACATAAAGTGTACACTCTGATGTGGGCTCTGTACTAATGTAAGCCTACATGTTGTAGACTTTGCAGCATAAACACATTAGAAGTCATTAGTTCCATGAGCAAGCCCATATAGAGCAAAGTCAAATGATACAAAAATCTGAAAGTAAGAAAATAAAACGGCCATCAGGCAGTTTTAAAAACAAGGCAAAGAAATGGAATCAATAAATATAAACACCATCAACTCTGTGATAGATATACATACATACATATAAACATACTTTACAGATCTACTGACTGTATTTGACACCTATTTTACAGAGTGGTGCTGGAGTGGGATGTTTTCGAGGAGGGTTCAGGTCATACCGAGCAGTAACATCTGCACCGACACAGGTAAGTAATAGCATAAGACTCAATAAAGCATCAAACTTCCAACAGATTCACAGGAGGAGCTTTGTCAAGTTTCAGGCAGGCAACACAAAGTGTCTCTCTTTTCTCCCTCCCTCCCCAAGTTCATCTTTTCTCTCCATTATATGAAGAGGTGGGGTTTGAGGCTGTAGTGATGGTAAAGTACTTGTTTCCCCACTTGAGTTCTCGCTTTCCTTCTTTCCTCTCTCTGCCCTCTCTCTGACTCTCTCCCTTTTCTCTCCTAAGGTAGTGGGAGCTAGAGATTGATTTTAATCCTGTGGGAGCGAGCTGTACCTGTGCCACAGAGTGTGCCATAGTGTGGTGGTTTCAGTGCCGTCTCCTGAAATATAGAGAGACAGACAGATATAGGGAGATTGTAGTTACAATATCATCGAGCTCTGAGCAGCCTAAGCTGTAGCCTTATCAGTGTGAGGCCACGCTGAACACTGAATAGAAAATCTCTGAAGAGAGCGTAGAAGATAAAAATAAATAAATAAATAAATGAAGAAGCATTCTTCAAGGCCCGGCTGGCAATCATGTCATCTTGTCAGATTTCCTTGAAGAATGCTACAGGTGTCACAAGTTTGTACATTTTTCCTGTACTTATCAGAGCATGCAATCTTATCCAATTATCACTCCCAATTTGTCGTTTTGTCTCCCACCACACTAGAGCAGCACTCTTCATTTTCCCTCAAAAAGCCATTTGGATCAATTTAGGCCCACTCTTTCTTTCGGACCCTTGCCAGTGAGTCCTCTGATATGTACAGAATATAACATTTCGCTGTTCCCCAGAAATTTAGCAACACATCTGCCAACATCTGAATCAGGATGAGTCGGACCTGATAATGCTTACTGTACATTAGCACGGCACAGTGATTACAGATGCAGTGACTCATATGAAATGAAACTGAAACAAACAAACAAACAAACAACACGAATAAAGCCGTAATCAATTACTAGGATTTAATAGGCTTAGTAAGCCTTTTAAAATCATGGCTTCCTTAAGAGTCAGCGCACACACCATCATCAGACCATGGGTGGCTGGTGTCAAAGGCCTGTATCTTCACCCACACAAACAAATGATGATATGCAAAATTTTTGCTCACTCCCACCTTGTTATCCAACACATTCATACTATCATCTTTTTTATAAAGTAAATTGCACCAATTTTATTACTGTACATATAAGGCCAAACAATATTTGGAAATATTTAATCACACTTTAATGAATGCATATGGGATATTACAAAAACACTAACAACTGTTTCTCCAATGTTGACTTAAGCAGTGACCCTCCGCACCCTGTGGCCCCAGAATTATGGGCCAAACTGTATTAGCCTTTTTATTCCCTGCATATTCATGGTGATGTCTGAGATCACTCCAGCAGGGTGGTACTCATTTGATCTGCCTCCACTAAAGCACATACTCTCACAAGAGCTCCTCAACACTGCAGGCAGGTTGACCTTTAATATCATGGGGTAGGGGTTAAAAGAAAATGATGAGATGTGTAAAAACCGAGAAGAGAATGGAGGAGAGGGAGGAGGCTTGCATTTTCAAATACAGCTCTCACTGTATAATGAAGCCATATGGTGGCACAAATCTGTAGTCTCTGAAGTATTTTTACAAGCTTTACTCTTTATCAGCTACATCTGTAAAGTCCCTGAAAACATTTTGGTGACCTTCAACCATAATCATCTCCTCCTGTGTGCCTTCCCCATTGTAATTCCATACTTTTGTCTTTAACCTTTTCAGGTGGTTTAGATGTGTGTGTGGGGGGGGTGAGAGATCACTGTAAGGGTGCTAAAGAACTGTCTGTCACTTTGATGAACAAAAAGAGAAATGCGACAGCCTGCCTATGATCTTTGCTTTAGGACTTCTGGTGTTAGGTTTTAGGCTCAGGAGAGACTGTATAGCAGGCATCAACAGACCGAATGCAGCTTTCGTTTTAACAGCCACACTTGAAACGATCTCTTAAAAATTCAAGAGGGTCAACTATTCTCTTTTTTACCTCTTTATATAAAAGTAATAACCATGCTCTTTGAAGAAGTGCTGTTTTTAAGTGTTCTTTAGACTTTGAAAACAGATTTCCTTTAAAGAAGCACAATGAAGAAATCAAGCAGAGATAAGATTATAACAGGGCCTCAACAAACAGAACCGCTGGTCAGCTGTGACATCATGTCGGATCCTGAGAGTGATGGTATTTGGCTTCACTGATAATCTTAAAGAACGGATGTCTTTTTTCTTCTTTTATTATCAACCTCATTCAAAACCTAATTGCAGTGATTTTAATCATACTGTATTACGAGTGATTAACCCTTTAGTGCATTTAATTAACCTTTGCAGCCATCAACTCTCATCAGGCAAAGCTTCATGCAATTTTTTTTTCATGACACAGGCTTTAAATAAGCACACTTAAAACTAGTGGGAAATCTAACGTCTAAAGTGGGAGGCATCACTTGTCAGTTGCTCAGGGGGACAGACACATTTTGATGTATTATCAGCTTATCATCACTGATGATATGGTTGCTGAGTAGATCCAATAAGGGCAGCTTTTTCTTGATAATATTCAAATGCTGGCAGACACAAAACTATGAGAATAATATGCACGTGAAAATCGACTTCTCTCAGAGGATTGACTAATAATCAGATATAAACATAGCCTGATAGAATGGAAAAATACGATTTGGGAGATGTGAACTAATCATATATTCATTGATTTTAAATTATTTGCACAAAAATACTCCACTCTGATCAGTAGCATAATTGAAAATCAATTAAAATTCTTGTTGTATGAAGTTCATAACAGATAATATTTCAGAATTAGCAGAACACAGATTGAATATTTTTGCATATTTTCAGGCAGTCACTACAAGTAAGAGGGGAAAATCTTTCCGGCAACTCATCACTGTGTCATATAAACACATTATAAAATAAATCTTTGATACCAAGGGCATGTAGTAGGCTTAGGTATAATGTGTCATGGCAGAGCATAGCTTTTAACCAGGGTTTCAAATAAAAGGTGGATGAAGGCAATGACTATCAACTCTGTGTGGGTGTCTTCATAAATTATCCTAAGCACAATACTGCAGGGGATCAACAGTCATTTACACAACTATGCCATGAGGAATTTTAAAGCTCGATAGATGTCACTGGGAGCGAAAAGGCAAAAAATGAACCAATGATCTGAAAAGTGTGTGCAATATGAGGCTAGACACAAACAAAAGCAAGCACCTCATCAAACAAAATCAATTATTGATGCAACATCATGAAATTGACCCAGATTTGGATGAATGGCAGTTGTGATAATTATGATCAAAACAGTAACAAAAATGAAAGCCAGTGTAACCAGGCAACAACCAAGCCCTCAAAAATCTTAAAAGAAACAAAATGAGAAAAGAAAAAGAAAGAAAAAGCCAGCAAAATCAACTGGATGTTTGACACTGAGTGAAAACTATGGCAACACACATAGTGGTATGAATAAATTGCTACCCCATGCACCAACTAGTCAGGCTTGATTAATTCCATGGAGCTGGTGATAGCAGGTCAAATATCAACATATACTCTGTCATGTACTGTACTAGAGGTACAATGTTCTCTCTAACAGAAATTACAACACATCACAGCGCCAAGCCTTTGTTGTAATGTCATCCTCTCTTTTGTGAGCTAATTTAAAGAACGTAAAGGCTGTGTATCTAGCTACATATGCCATTTCTAACAATAACTGGAGTCATTAGAGCATTTATAGGCTAAATGCAACATGGGGCTGGCAGCCTTTTTTATGGACTACCGCTACCCTTGGTGTTTAAGTATATTGGTCTCAAGGCTCTGCGTCACCTTGATCCCCGTGACCCCCTCTCCCGTCCAGAGAAGTACTCAGTCTTCCCCACAGTGCTTTGCTCTGGCTGTCAGCACCGAGCAAGGCCACCTCTCCTTACCTCTGATTTACATTTATTTCCCTTGCCAGCTTTTATTTATTGGGGCACTTTGCATTTGGCACATATCTCTTAGGGAATCATAAGCCCTTTGCTGTACCTTGGCATTCAAATGAGCTTCTCTCCCACAAAGCCTCACTGCCTCAGTTAAGACGGCACTTAATGTTTTAGGACAGGGGCCACAGAAAGTAGGATTAATTATCAAACTGTTTTAGCATGTCAAGAACACATTTTTTGTTTTGTTTTGTGCTATTACCTTCACACTTTGTGCATGAATAAATACCTGATGAAGTGAGTAGCCCTTGTTACACTAGCTGCTATATTTATTTATTTATTTTTTGCTTGGCTTGATTAAACTTGTCAGTTAAATATATTAGCACACAGCTTTGTTTGCCCTTGACCTCAAATACATCAGTCTAGAGTTCAATCACTGCTGCCTATCTCAGGCTCTTTTAAATCAGGCTACATTGCCACCAACCACTCACACTGAAATCTAAAAGAGCTAGCCATCATAATTGCACTGCTGCCAAATACTCAAGCTTTTACATATGAAATTAACCTGAAAGTGTATTTTTGTAAATGATTATGCAGTCACAGGTTGTTTATGATGGAGGGTGAATACATGAATTAATTATAATCAGTGCAATGAAAATTTGCTATGTTTAATTGTGACAAATGATGTTTTATTCTTTCATTTTGCTGCAAGTCTAGAGCACACTCATTTTTATGTGCAAATGACATTCTTGTGGACATGGTCATGGTCTGTGTGAGAAAATCCCCTGGCTCCATGCTGCCACCCTCCCCTTTTGTATCACCTACCATGGGACCGCAAGGGGAATGTGAGTAGGGACTTGTGTGGGTGGGTTGAAAAAGGAAGTCATGAATTACCTGTCGAGTGGTGATTTGCCCCGCAGTCTTGAATCCCCCCTGACAGCTGCACTCTGAGACGCTGTATGGGTCGGAGCTAGTCGATGAGCACTTGGAGAGTGAGTCGCAACCCACCACAAAAGTGTTGTCCAGTGGGAGCTCCTGGATCACATGGTGTTTCTTTGGGGCCACTGGGGTCTCCGGTTTTATTTGAAATGTGGGCTGAGGGGACGCGGACTTGTAATGCTTGGCTAAATCTGGGCTGTCGGGTTTGAAGGTGGTGGGCGTGGTGGCCCAGTTGTACTTCCCCATGGTTTGCTCCTCTAACTCCACAGGGAGGTCCAGTGTACCATTAACATGCTCGTGTGTGGGGTCGTCGGGCTTGGATTCATCTATGGTCACAAAGTTCAGGAGCAGGCTCTTGGGGGATCGCTTCTTTCTCTTCTTCTTCTTCTTGATCTGACGATTCTCTTGGTTGGGTGACACCCACTCACCACTCTGCTTGCCCTTTTGTACCACTTTGTGTCTGGGTGTCTGTCGGCAGCGCACCAAGGCAGTCACAAATATCACTAAGATGACAGTCATGGTGCCTGCTATGATAGCTATGACAACAATCACATATCCGTTGGCTTGAGGTGTTAACTCGCTGTCCCCTATGTTACGGTCCAAGGGCGTCTCCATACTTTTTCGCAGCTGCTCTTGGATAAAGGTAGCATTTGACATGGTGTCATTGACAAACAAGTGAATAAGTGCGATAGCATGTAACGACTCAGGCTGGCCTAGATCTTTGACCTTGACTACCAACCTGTGCAGCCCCTGATCAGCTGCCACTATTTTCTCCTGCAGTGTTATGTTACCCGTTGTTTTGTCGATGGCAAAAAGACCTCGAGGGGAGACCCTAGACGTGATGATGATGCTGCTGATAATACTGTACTGCAGCTCAGCGTTCATACCTGTGTCATTGTCAATGGCAAACACTCTGGTGACCACTGCGCCAGGGGTGGTGGTGGTTCGCACTAGGTCATATGAGTAATTGGAGGATGGGATGACGAACACAGGACGATTGTCATTTACATCAACTACATTGATAGTGACCTTGGCGTAGGATGAGCTTGGAGGTTGCCCTCCATCAACTGCCTTGACCATAAATGTGTAGGAGCTTTGCTGCTCTCTGTCAAAGGTTATATTGGGTTTAATCACACCCGTTTGCGAGTCGATGATGAAATTATCTTTCCCACTCAAAATGGACAGGGTTATAACAGCATTATCTCCAGCATCTGCGTCTGTCACTGTGATTAAGCCCACAGTTCCATAGAGAGGCAGGTTCTCAGGCACATAGAAGTTGTACTCAGGGTGTGTGAAAGCTGGGCTGTTGTCATTAAGGTCCTGGACAATTAGCCTGACAGTGACATTGCTCTGCAGGGATGTGGAGCCATTGTCCCTTGCTATGACAGTGAATGAGTACCTCTCCTGTTTCTCCCTGTCCAATCGTTTGCCCACAGACAGGATTCCTGACCGTCTGTCTATGTTAAACCCATCAGGCGCATCAGGGCCAAGAGTATAAATAATTTCAGCATTATGTCCGCTGTCTGCGTCAGTGGCACTGATTTTTATTAACTGTGTAGAGGGGTCATTGTTCTCTGGTATGGAAAGTTGGATTTCCGGCTGGGGGAAGATGGGCGCATTGTCATTCTCATCCTTGATTTTAATTAAAACCATAGCTGAAGTGTTCAAAGGAGGCATCCCCCTATCCGAGGCCACTATCTTAATTGCATATTCTCGAGTCGACTCATAATCTAAGGGGGCAGCTGTCTCTAGTAAGAATTGATCATTAAAGACAGGCTTCAACCGGAAAGGAACATCATGGTCGGTGTAGCAAGCTACTTTGCCATAAAGATCAGCATCCTTGTCGGTAACAGTAATTAATGCTATTTTGGTGTTGAGAGGTGCATTCTCAGACAGCAGAACAGTCCCATTTACTAGGTTGATAATGTAGCGAGTGTCTATGGAGGGAACATTGTCATTGACGTCTGTTACATTAACAATCACTGTGGCTCTGGATGGGGTGGAGCTGCCATCACTGGCCAGGACGATGAGTTTATGAACAGGAGTTACCTCCCTGTCCAGTGGCTGCTTCACAGTGACCAGTCCTGTAGAGCTGTCGATGGCAAAGTGACGTTTGGTTGAGGCAGAAATCTGGTTGCTGAAGGTGAAATGGATCTGTGCATTGGAACCCAGGTCTGCATCCATGGCATGAAGCTGAGCAACTGATGTCCCCATGGGGGCGTTTTCTGGTACTGAGACCTCCAGCTCACTGTCTTTGAAGATAGGACGATTGTCGTTGACATCAGAAATAGTGACCTGGAGAATGGCAGTGCTGGACTTGGCGGGGTTACCACCATCCTCCACCTTTATCTTCATGACAAAAGTGTCCTTCTGCTCACGATCCAGGTTCTGCTGAACAATAAGCTGTGGCCACTTGTCACCTTCAGGAGTCTCAATGATGTCTAAGCCAAACTCGCTGACACTCTGCAAAGACAACAGAATATTTTTGTTGTTTTGTTCTGTTTCATACTCACAACATTTAAATATGAATAGAACAAATGAATACCTCTTCTGCTTTCCCTTAGGTTTCTCACCATTGTTTTTTCCCCTTTTACACAGTTATTTTTGTCTTTGTGAGCTTTCTTTTTTGACTCAAGGGTGTTAGGATACTGGGTATCATAAACGTGTAAACTGTAAAGTTCTCTTTATAGAAACAGACATGAATGATGTTTTAATACCATAAGTAAGAATATCATATTTTACCTGGTAATAACAAAGAAAGGTATAAAAGCTATAACGATATGGTGCTAGATTCTGAAGGATTCTTTTCACCCAGCATTCATGTTTTTGTTCTTATAGCATCAATTTTTCAATTGTCTTAGAAAGCAAACAGCCTCGGGTTACTCGGGTTCATTTACGATCAGTCTTTCAAGCAGCGATGAATGTCAAGAGCAAACTAAACAGGCCAGGACATTTTAAAACCAAGGCAGGTGGTTCTTGGCTCTGCTCTGATCATCTCAGTAAGGTACCCCTAAATCAAAAGCATCTTTAGACATGCAGTATACTATACATGCCCCAGAAAATTGCCAAATGTCAATTACTCCTTTTTGAAATGTGACCAATAGTTAGTAAATCCACTCCTCCACCTTCCTTAGCACTAGAAATGCTTAGAGGGATTCATTTGCCTTTTTAGTCTACTCGTCGGATTTCTTCTGCCTTCTCTAAAATGCGATTTCACTCTACCTTCCTATCAGGTGCCAAGTTAGAATAGAGCAGGCAGTTTCACAACATTTCAACTACAATATGGAGCAGAAAGACTGCTGGAAATAGAGACACACCAATAGAGTCCCATTTAAATACACTGCAAGACCAGGTCACCACAGATTAAGAGAAAGGAAGTGAAAAATCCTGCATATTAGAAAGGATTTTTGCTCAAGGCCTAACTCTAGGTAGAAGCAAAGCCTGAGGAAAATGAAAACAAATGTATATGTAATTCCCACGAGAAAGCCAAGGAACTGGCACTAGCAGTTAAGAGTAATTGCTTACCACCTAACAAAAACTAGCACTAATATTACAATTTTCAGACTGGAGTACGGTATGGATCCATACACAAGTTCAAATTAGAATAGAGAGGAAATG